GCCCAGGGCCCGCCCCCGGCCCCCCCTCCCCAAGCCGGGCAGGGCCGGGGCCGCCGCGACGGGAGGACAAAAGAGGCGCCGCCCGGAGACCCGCCTGCCCGCGACTCCTCGGGCCCCTTCGGCAGGTGCAGGGCAGAGCGCGCCCGTTCCCCCCCCCCTCCCCACCCCTCGTTGGGGAGCTCCGAGGACCCGTGGGCTGGTAGGGGAAGGGAGGCAGGGAACACGGGGACCCCGGGCTCTGACCCGGTGACGGCCCGTCGGGGGGGCCCGCGCGGTCGAGGTGCGGGGGCGTGGCTGTCCGGCTCCCCTTTGCCCCTCCGGCGCGGTACCCAGGACGGGCTTTCCCTGTAACCCAGCCACGAGGGCCCGGGTCGACCGCAGGCTTAGGTGGAGCTGGGAAGGTCGGAGGACCAGGGACGGGACCGAAGGGATCTCTCACCCACCCGCAGCAGAGCAGGTCACTGCGGAGTTCTCCCACACCCCGGGTCCAGACCCCTTTCCATCCTGCAGGCTCGTTTTCCAGGCCAAAGATGTCCTCTGCCTCCAGGAGGGCTGCGGGGATTGCTGTCACCAGAGACACCAGCAAGGGCGGGCCTACTGCCTCTGGGCTCCTGAATTCCTCCCCTAAATATATCAACTAGCCAGGTCATTTACATGCTGTTAGTATACCCCATTCCTGCCCCTCCCTTGCAGCCCAAATCTTTGAGGAGCAGAAGACACCTCTGGAGCCCCCCAGCTTCCCCTCTCTGGCCAGACTAGGTTGCCCTGTCTGCAAACCACCTGACCTTCCAACCTTCCTCTCTCCCTGTGCCGCCTCGCTTGGCTCGTGGGCTCCTGGGTAAGATGGGTCCCCATACTGGGGGCTGGGATCTCTGATCTCTGCTAGGGATCCCAAGAACCAGAGACCTGAGATGGGTGGGAGGTGGTAGGGCTTGCACATGGCTGGTGAGGTCCCACATGACCTTGTGCCCAAGGCCAGAGCATCCTCGAAGTCATACCGGGCTGAGGAGCAGGAGTGGAGGCAGGGAACCCCTTCCTGGGTCCTCTCCTTCCTTAGGGACCCAGGGACTGCCAGGGACGGGGAAGCTGTCTCTGGCTCGTGACAGTCGTTCTCCCCCCCCCCTCCCCCCCGCGCTCTATTTTAGGCCCAGAAGAGGTGAGAAGGCAATTTCCTGGGAGGTGCTGATGCTGGGACCGGGGTGACTACCCCCAACCACCACCTGCCACTCCAGACCCAGATGCTCAGCAAGGCTGAGCCAACTGGTCCTTCACTCTGGAGATACCTTGGAAACCTCTTCCGGGGTGTAGGGGTGAGGGGGCTCCCAGGAATGAGGACCTACTATGGGATATTCCCTAGAAACTCAATTAGTCAGGAGGGAGAGATTGTGCTCCTCATTTCAGAAGGGGAAACGGAGGCTCCCAAAAAGAGGTGCCCATGTGAGCTTCCCAAAGTCCCAGAGCTGGCAGTGAGAGGCCGTCTATCCCATCCGCTCCCCAGGCCCCCCAGGGCGAGTTCCCCTTGGCCTGCCTGTTCTGGGCCACAGCAGTGATTCGCGATCCCGTGTGCCTCCCAAAAGGACAGGCGGGGTTTGTCATTTCACAAGGGGGGGGCACTGGGCCTGGGGGAGTCTGGACCCCTCTCCTGACATGACCAAGACCACACGGCATGCCCAGTCTGTGGCCTGGGCCTCTTTGGTTGAGGGGCATTGCTGTGATTTCTGTGGCTCTGGTTCTTTGGTGTTCCTGTTGAGAGTCCTTCCTGGCCCCCAGACTGACTCCTCTCTGGTGGCATCCTGAGGCAGCTCCAGTGGCGGCTCCATTGTATGGCCCTGTGACCCCCAACAGCCCCTCATCTCCCTGGGTGGCAGCTTCAAGCAGGCCCAGCTGCGATCTTGACTCTCCTTTGACCACGCCTCACTCCTGAGCCCGAGGTCCCACCTCCCCTCTCTTGTCCTCCGTGTCAGCCGCATGCCTCGCCCCAGCAGGAGCCTGCTTGTTTCTCTCCCCCACCTTCTCTCCTGAGGGCAGGAGCTGTAGAGCCAGCCTCTCTTCAAAGCAGGGGCTCCCTGGGAGGATGCTTACCCCAGGGCCACAGCTATGGCGGGCTCCTTTGGTCCCTTCTGCCCATTGCTTGTCTGCCCCACGAGGAGGACAGGACTCTGGAAATCAGAGGCTCGGGCCACTATTCTGTCTTGATGCCACCCTCTGGGTCACCCCCTGCTGAGGGAGCTGTTAGGCTCTGGTCCCCACCCCCAGCCCTCCCTCAGGAGCCTCTGCCACCAAGAGGCCTGGGGCCGCCTTCCCTGAAGTCCTGCCCTTCAGCCAAGTTCCTCCCTCAAATTTTCCTGCACGGGGGCCAAAGTGGGCTGATGCGGGGCCAAGATGTAGTCCCAGCAGCTGCAGGTAAGGGAGGGGTGTCTGCTGCCCCTGGCCCCTCTCCTTCTCTCTGCCCCAAAACTCCATCCTGGAAGACATGGTGGGCGGTGATTCCTGCCAAAGGAGGCCGTCCAGGCCCCGTGCCCAGGCTGCGAGGCCGGTAGCAGAGACCATGCCAGGCAAGGGGCAGGGGGGTGCCCTGCGAACAGCAGGAATTAGGACTCCAGGCGGCCAGCTGGTGTCCCAGTCCCGGTTAAGGGCTGTGTGACCTTGAACCAGTCTCCCAGCCTCTCTGAGCCTGTTTCCTTCTCTGTGAAATGGGGGTTGGAAAGGCCCTTCCTGGCCGTGCTGCTGGGGGCTGGAGTGGCTGGCCTCAAGCGCTCGGGACAGCCCCTGGTGCATGTGCACGTGCACGGGACGCTCCCTGGCCCCAGGCTCGCACTGCCCCTGGGGCCCCAGACGTGCCAAGGAGAAAACCAGCTTTGTGGCCCTTGTGCTGGACCCAAGGGACTGTTTAGTGGCTGGGGGCCTCGGGGCCCTCTACGCAGCACTTGGGGAGACTGCTCGCTGACATGCTGTTGAGGGGTGGAGCACAGAGAAAATGCCCCGAGCATCAGGACCAGGAGTGCCTTCTGCTCCCTCCCAGATCCCAGCCCGGCGCCCTGTCCTTCCCACCAGGAGAGAGCCACCCCTCTGACTGGCTAGCTCTCCCGAGGGAGGCTTAGTTCTCCCCGCTCTCGGTCGTCCTTGTGAACCCTTCCTTAGAAATCTGAAGCTCAGGGAGGAATTGGAGGCGCCGGGGGTCCCAGGGACGCCCATCCTTTGAGAGGTTTGTAGTCATGCCCCCAAGGGCCAACATGCTGGGGTGGGGAAGGTGTGGTACCCACCACCGTCCCCTTTCCCCCACGCATGGCATCCTCCTCAGGTTCTGGGGAACCAGCTGTAGGAAAGTGGGGGGGGGCCTGGGGTCAGGGTGTCTCACAGAGCCCCTCAGCTTCAGCCACAAATACACACTGGGGATGGGGCTGCGGATCACCAGATGGGAGATCAGTGAAAATAAGCTCTACTGAAGGGTTTGGAGGAGCCTCACAGGTAAGGGTTGGGGCAGGGGGAGGGGAGAGCCGATGAAAAGTTTGCTGAGGGTTTATAATACGTGTTAGTGTTTAGAACCTCACAAACAGATCTAATTGTTGCAACTTTCTAGTGAGGCAGAAACTGCCATTACCTCTGTTTTTCAGATTAAGAAGTGTCTCCGGATCCTTGCCAAAGGTCAGTTATGGGCAGGACCCGGATGTGAACTCGGGCCTGTGTAGCCTGAAGGCATACACTATGGGGTTTTCGGGGAATATGGAACCGGGCCTTGAAGAGCAGGGCATTCTTGCTGTCGTTGAGGGGCATTCCAGGTCAGTGACCGAGAGCGGCCTCAGGGCTGGAGTGACCGCGGTGGCCAGACAAGGGACCAGGAGGTGGCAGAGAGCGGGGAGGAGGCAGGGTGGCTGTAAGGAGAGGCCGGGCAGCAGGGAGAGTGACCAGGAGGACCTGAGTCTGGTGGGAGGGGCTGAGGGAGAGGACGCCAGGAGAGGCGCAGGAAGGGGAGCCGGTCCTGGCTGGAGGGACGAGTTTCTAGGTAAGTAGGTCTGTGGTAGTGGCAGGACAGAGGGATACAAGGGACCTGTTGGCCATCAGGTATTTTATTATTGGAAAGAGGGACCCTTGAAGTCATCTCATCCAAGCCCCTCACCGAAACATGAAGAAACCAAGGCCCAGAGTAGTCAAGGGCCTCGCCGGAAGTCACAGCGGGAGCCGGGCTGGGGCGAGGCCCCCCGCATTCCCACCCAGCTGGGGGAAGAGAATTCAGAAGGGAGCCAGGGGCCGAGCTACCAATTCAGGTCCCATCTGCGAAGGGAGAGAGCAGTGCACAGGGCTGAGGACGAAGGTCCCACGTTGGGGAAGTAGGGGTGCCGGAGGGCGGGTCAGGGTTCCAGGAACTGATTCAGGCCCGTGCTAAGTGAGGCTGATACAGAGGGCAGAGGCTGGGGGAGGGAAGGACCAGGCTGGTGGGGGGTCACGGAGCAGGAGAGCCAGGTTTCAAGGTGGAAAAGGAGAGAAGGAAGCCGACTTTGGTAATTCTCGGGTTATCCAGTGACCTTGGACTGGCTGAGGCCCGTGGAGCACTTCAGACAGAGCCTCGGCGGCTTTGGGAGGGCGACGAGGTGCAGACATGGAGGCAGCAGCTGCAGACCGCAGGAAGTGGCTGGAGAAGGGGTGGGGGGGCTGCCGAATCAAGGAGTGGAGTTTTAGGGCAGAGGGAATCCGAAGACATGGCAAATCCGAAAAGGAATCTGACAAGGCTGGCCAGGGTGGACCGGAGAGCAGGGACGGTGACAGGAAGGACACGGCTCCCTCCGCAAGAGTCAGATGTGGGAAGGGGACAGAGAGCAGGGGGAGGCGGTGCCTGCACAGTCTGAGTCAAGGTCATCTGCGGAGGAGCGGAAGGGGGTTCCAATAGTCAAGGAGCCACTGAGGGCCACACGTGAGGGCCAGCACCCATCTGTCTGAGCTCAGGTCTCCTCCGGTCCCCTCTAAATTTATTTCCTGGAGGCTGGAACGGAGACATGGATAGGGAGAGACAGCCCTGGGCCTTGGCCTGGCTGAGAGGTGATGTCCAAGGTCACAACGGTGGAGATGGGAGGGGAAGGCCAGCCGGCTGTGAGGTCCTGGGCAGATGGCGAGGAGGGTGTTGGCACTGGGTGTGTTGGTCTCTGAGCAGCACGGGAGGATATCCAGGGGTCTGAGAAAGGGGTGGGGGAAACTTCTCATCCAGAGCAGCGGTGTTGTGGGAGAGGCAACGGGGCACAAGGGAGAGGGCCCCTAGCAGGAGAGCTCATTAGGGCCGAGGAGTTTCCTTGGCAGTGGGCTGTGGGCATGCCCTCTGTAGGCGACCGCTTGGCAGGCAGCAGAACCAAGTCGGTGACCAGAGGAGACAGGACAGATGCAGCCCCCGCCCCCTGCAGCCCTCAGGGACTGGGCCGGGGAGGGTGGCGGCTGACGTATGCTCTCCCACTCGCAGGGTGCTCCCATCCTGCTGGCCACTTACTCTGCCCATGTCTGCTGGGCCCGTGGCCCTGCTCTGGGTCACTGGAGGGGACATTGAGGCCTGACACACTGCACTCCAGCCCTATCCCTTTGCTATTTGTTATTAACAAATTTATTTACAGTTCCTGAACCAAGATTAATTGTGAAATTTAACAGGAATGGCATAAAAAGGCCAAACATGACCTCTATGCGGGTTGTACACAGAGTTACTCTATTTCCAAAGTAACAACTCAGGTCCTCACCCGCAGCTAGGCCCCCCTTTCTTCCTCCAAAATGAGCCACAGAATAGCACCAGGCTTCTTGTAGCTCCAACATTTAAAGAAACAAACGCACTGAGGCAGAGAAGGGTGAGAAGAACCACAGCACAAAATGCAATAAAAAAAAAAGTGGCCAGAGAATCGATAGCAAACCCATCTCTGTCTCCAGATTAATGGCTTGGCTAAAAGAAATGAGGGGAGGTCCTTGGGGAAGGAGGGAGGGAGGGAGGGAAGAGGGTGATGCAGAAGTTGGCAGGTGAACCGCTGACCCTGGAGTAGCAGAAATGGGGGGGCAGCCAGGGAAGAGCGGGGTGGGGGGGTCTGGCCATCCCCGGACTCAGGGGAAAGGTCCGTTCAGTGCTGGGCTCCCACCAAACGCAGGGGCGAGGGAGCTCTGGGGGCCCCGCAGCCAGCCCCTCTGCTTCATATGTTCCTGAGGATCTGTGTGTGTGTGAGCGTGGGGGGCCGGGGGAGGGACACACAGGCATTTCAGACAGCAGGGGAGCCACATGCTCCTGGGAAAGGAGGCTGGGGTGGGGGTGGGTAACAATAAAACCGGGCGCAGCAAGAGGCAAGTGCCTCCAGAGGGACAGGAAGCCGGGCCAGGGCTCCTGCTGTGGTGGCTTCTTTGCGGCCCCTCCCTCTGCCCCCTGCCTCCTGGAGCGGGCGGCTGGCAGGGACGAGCGCACCGTAGCGGGCTGCCCAGTCGGGACACGGCTGGAGGTAGGGGCAGAGAGCAGCCCCCAGCCCAGACTCTCTTGGCACGCCCCCAAGACCCGGCGAGTGGGTGGACTGGCTCTGTCGACCCCACAGAGCTCGGCCGAGACCTCGGCTGTTCACCTGGACTTCAAAGGCCAGGCCCCGGGCTCTTCCGGCTCTGGCGGGGAGGCCTGAGGCGCTCCCCTTCCCGGGCGGTGTGCAGCACTAGGATCTGCGTCTCTGGCCCTCAGGCTGGGGGCTGCTGCGGCCCCAGGGAACTCCGGGGAGCAGTCCTCTGCGGGTGCTGGGAGACCGGGGGCGGTGGGCAGGACCACTGGGAGCAGCCGGCTCCTCCGCTGGCGGACTGGCCCTCGCAGGTCCCTCTGGGGCCTGCATGTCCGCCGCTGAGTGCAGGTGGGCTGACAGCTGGCCTGGAGCCAGCCGGCCGCGGACAGGGCCAGGGATGGGGGGGCTGCACGCTCAGACTCCTCAGATCCCGGGGGGCCATCCTCCCCCAGGCCAAGGGGGCTCTGCTGGCCTTTCCGTGGGCTGCCAGGGGAGGGGCTCTGGGACGGGGAGGAGGGAGGCCAAGGGCCTGTGCTCACAGCCCGGAAGGGGAAGGCAGAGGAGAGGCCTGCCACTGGTTGTCCTGGTGCCACAGGGGCTGCTGGCTCTCGGAACGAAGGAGGAGGCCTGTGGCCGGGAGACCCCTGACCTCTTCTCGGGATTGCCACCGGGGAGCTGAACCTTCCGCTTGTGGCCAACAGGGGCCACGTCCAGGCTGGAGAATTCCGCAGAACCAGAGCGTGTTGGGAGGCGCTGGCGTACAGGGCTCTTGGACCCTGGCGTCCCTGAGGGGTCTGCAATGACATCCGTTGAGCCCCCCAGCTCCCGGCAGCTTGCTACTGGTCCTGGCACGTGGCCAGCCCCCATGGGCTCGGCGGGTGGCTTCACGCTGCCCTCCGAGCCGGCTCGCTCTGGGGCGCCCGGGGCCGGGAGCTCGTCTTCCTGTCTCATCCCGGGACATGCGGCCCGGGGCTGGGAGGGCTGGCCGGGAGGCAGAGTCTCAGGCCACAGAGGGTCACCATCTGAAGACGGGGAGCCCGGCTGCCTGTGGGGACAGACACCGCCAGTGGGCCTCAGGGCTCAACTCCAGAGCAGGCGGCAAGTTGGGGTCTTCCCGGGCCGGGGCTGGGGGCGCGCGGGGGCGCGGCCCGCAGGCGCTACCCCGGGTTTGCTGTGCTGAAGCGAGCGGCCCACTCTGGGGCTCGGCGGAAGGCCCGTTCTCGGGCTGCCCCTGTAGCGGCGGCCAGGGCTGGCTGCGCCCCTCTCGGCTCTGTGGCCTGTGGTCAGGGCTGGCCGGAGGAACAGGTTAGAGGCTGCTCCATTTAATAACTTTGCAGCGGAGGCTGTGCCCTTTGGCGGCCGGAGAATGCAGCGCCAAGCCTGGCTCTCCAAACTGAGCCCAGGGAGCTGAGGACTGGGCTCGAGAGGGGAAGCCACAGCTCCGTGGTGGGCAGCAGGGGAAGCTGGGCTCAGAGGAACCTGGGATTCCAGAGCACCTCCTGCAGTCCTCTCTGGGGGTAACTTCTAGAAAGGCAGAGAGATCTTGCTCTTTACCCGTCTGAGAGGGACCCAGGAACCCCCCTCTCTACTTCCAGAAGGCCACACGGGCACACCACCAGGGACATGCCAGGAGCAGCAACTGCTCAACTGTGCTCCCCACCCCCACAAACCATGGAAGCAGCCGCATGCTGGTGGGGGCCGTCCCCGTCAGCTGGAGCCACAAATGGAGGGCTCCCAACCCCCACCAAACCCCGAGAGAACCAGGACAGAAGCTGGTGGGAAAGAGAAAAGCGCCACAGTCTGGTCCCCGCTGTCACCAGCCTAAGGGCTCCTTCCCATCTAGAGCGGGGGGCAGCAGGAGAGCGAGGATGGGCGGGGCGCTCACCTGGGGAGGCCGGCCCGGGAGGGGGCGTCGGCAAAGCTGTGGCCAAGCTGGGCAATGACCCGATCGACTTCTGCATACGGGTGGGCTTCTAGGGCGAAGCCCCGGTGCCGGGTGCTCTGGAGATGCTGCCCGGGGTGAAAGGGGCACAGCGCATTAGACAAGAGCAGGGGGGACGCGAACGGGGTGGAGGCCGGGGGGCAAGGGTGCCGTCAGAGCAGCCCGGGAGAAGCTGCTCGGCAGGGAGGGCTCACCGCGTGGAGCTCCTCAAAGTCCTCCTGGCAGCACTCACAGAAGCCCTTCCTCCTCCTGGGCAGGGTGCGGGCGGCCGATCGCAGGCTCGGCTCGCGGTCCTTGGGTTCTCTGGGGAAAGCACAGGGTAGGGGTGGGGGAAGCGATCAGGACTGGGCCCTCAGGGGGCGGACCAAGACAGCTGGGCAGGCACGCACGGGCCTGCCCCCACTTGGGTGGCAGGAGAGGCAACAAGGAAGGTGAGAGCTCCCGGCGGGCACCCCGTCCCGTCCCTGCCCCCACAGGGCAAAGCACAGGTGAGGCCGGGTGCCGGCGCCAGCAGGAACGCCTCCCAGGGCAGTTGCAGCTCGAGCTCGCACCCAAACCCACGTCCCTCTGCCCTGCACGAGGCAAGGGGCAAGGCCTCAGTGGCAGCGAGGGGCCTCTGCTGCTCCCGCCCTCCCCTCCCGAGGGTCGCCTTCCCCAGGCTCAGGCGGTCTCCTCCCTCTCGCCGGCTTGCCCCCTGCACAGCTGCCACCTTCACCAAGGACTCGCCAGTCTCCTTCTCGAACCTGACTTCTCGTCTTAATTTCAGGCCCGTATTTTTAGTGGCTGCTTGGCTGGCTGAGCAAACTCAACAAAGTCCAAAATAGTCTCCTTTCAGGACTTTTCTGAGCATGATGCAAAATCCAGAAAACAGAAAAAAGCGGATAAATTCAACTACATGCAATCTCAAAGAATGTATGCGTGGCAGAAAATGTAAACAACAGACAAATCACAGACGGGGGTGGGGGGTATTTATAACTAATAACACAGAGGGCTCATTCCCAAATATGTGGAGGGTTCCACAAATCAATAAGAGAAGCAAACAGTGGAGCGCCTGGGTGGCTCAGTCATTAAGCGTCTGCCTTCGGCTCAGGTCATGATCCCAGGGTCCTGGGATCAAGCCCCGCATCGGGCTCCCTGCTCTGCGGGGAGCCTGCTTCTCCCTCTCCCACTCCCCCTGCTTGTGTTCCCTCTCTCGCTGTGTCTCTCTCTGTCAAATAAAT